TTTGTTGTGTGTGTGTGGGGGGGGGGGGATAAAACAACTATTTTCTTTAGTCAACAAAGTCAAAGAAATTTCCCAAGTTCGATAGTAGCTCTTTCTTGATAGCACTTTTAACAAGGTTTACTTAAAAACTAAATTCATCAAATGACTGGAGTTTATTCAAACTTCTGCAGGACATATTTTTCTTTTATTAACTTTTTTTGTTTGAAAATGAGTTTCAAATTGCAATGGAAGATGATGAGAAATAACATACATTAAAATCGAAGAACAATGATAGAGCGCAACCCTCTCACCTTGCAATGTTTTAGAATTTTGTAGCAATCGACCTAAAATATACCCCCTCCCCCTCGACTCGAATCTGAAACCTCTCACAAAGCAGGAGAGTGCTTTTTAACAACTCAAACTACCACGCAATCAGATTTTAAGTAAGGACATTAATGTCTGCATTTCCTTGACTAAGATAGTTGTTAAACGTCAAATCATTGAACTAATCACTTTTAAAATATTTTTTTAAATGAAATTTTAATTTAGTGAGCGTAGTCATCAATTCAAATTTGTTACACTTTCATACAAAGTTCTCCAAAACAACTTAGACGAGTGAATAACGCTGTGTTCGGCGTGTTCTCTACTATATTTAGGTAAAGGTGTGGGCTGTTTGAAAAGAAGCAGAATTTACTTGATCGCACTCTTAAAAAGGTTTGCGCTACACGAGCACTCGCCGGGCTCCATACAGAAGTTTCTACATCATTCAAATGTGGAGTAATCTTCCAAAAGTTTGATCATGCCAACTGTTATAAAAGCTTGCACATTCACCTGCTAAATATTTGGGTTATGTGAAGCTCGCGATAGTAGAATGTGCGTTCAAATCGTTCTCATTTTCATTTGCTGCGTGAAAATTGCGTTGTGTGTGTGTGTGTGTGTGTGTGTGTGTGTGTGTGTGTGTGTGTGTGTGTGTGTGTGTGTGTGTGTGTGTGTGTGTGTGTAGTAAGTAAGTAGTTACGTTACGTTCCGTTCCGTACGTTACGTTACTTACTTACTTACGTACGTACGTACTACCTACTATTACTTACTTCT